TTATTTTTCTTGTTTAAAACTAGCTTCTCCAAACATCTGCTTGGAAAAGTGCACAATAAAACATAATTTAATTCTACAAGTGGTTGTTCAACCGTCATTGGAAAATAAATTAAAATGTAACAAGTTCGAAATGCTCATCATAAATACTGGGACAAATAAATAAAGCGACCATCAACATAATAATATTTATCTAAAAGATATCTCTCAACCTGTCATGTACACAATATTTGTAATTTTTGTTTAAGCTGATATATTCTATGAGTGAGAGAGACAGAGATGTAAAGACAGAGATGCAACATCCTGAATGAGTCCTGACGCTGAGATCCACCACCCGTCCCTGACAGCCCTGATCGTGGACACACAAATATCTGTGTACTTGGGGATTTCTCTAGACCTGAACCAGCAACTGTCCCATGTGGGTCAGCCTAGCAGAGTATTGCATGTTAGTATGTTCTCCTATTGTTAATGTAAGTATTTTCACGTTATAAAGATATTAACTTCTGCTATCATATTGAGAAATGTAATTTTTTCCCTGTATAGTGTGAATGTTCATCATTTATTCTCCATTTTACCTCTTTAATCCATCTTTTGCATAGGTAGTTTAAAATCTCCATCACAGAGTTTTTCATGATGGGGCTGACAGGTGGCGAGGTGGTTAAGTGCGCTAGACTCCCACATGACCAAACGCGGTTCCAGTCCCAGACCTGGCAGCTGGTTGTCTCACTCTACCCATCCCTCTCTCTTGCTCTTTCCTTCTCTAGTCAAATCAAAATGAATGAATAAATAAATAAAGTTAAATAAAAAATTAATTCTTTTAAAAAAAGAGTTTTTCATGAAAACTCCACTCAGTATAGTAGCCAATACTATTCAAAACCAAAGATGTAATTAAATGGTCCTAGCTATTGGAGATTTCTCTCTGAGAAAATTAATGTCCCCATATTATATGCACATTTAAACCATCATATGGATATTACCATAAATATATATCAAAGAATTAAAGGTTATTGTCATTTACTCTGCAGTCTAACCTAAGGGTACAAACTCATAAACAAAATCAAAAGTATATTACTTGCTTAACTTTTTAAAAGAGATGCACAGATAGTCAAATGAACCTCAATGTTGGGTATTATTTTCTATATTTCCTAAAAGTGTTCACAGAGATTAGCCTTATATGAAAAGAAACAAGAGCTATGGCTAAAGGTGCACTTGTCCATGGTACTCTCATGAGGTCAGAATCACATAGCTTCTTATTTATGACTGTCTGTCTGTGTTGCCTCCAGGCACTTCCTAATGAAACTCCTTGCTCCTGGTAACACATTTCAAGCTGCCAGAATGTGCAACTAAAGGAGAAATAAAATATGAATTTATTTAATGCACAGCATAAGAAGCAGGTTATCAACAAACACTCTCAACAAAATAGGTTTTGTTTTGGTTTTTATTTTCCCCAGGGGAAACACCTAAATGATAGCAGATAATTGACATTCTCAAATTTTAGTAGAAATGTATGCCACCTTTCTTTTTTTTTGGCTAAAAATATGTTGCTTTTTATGCTTGTATAACATATAGGATATGTTCTAATAGTTGCAGAATTTCATTCATGACTTTCTCTACCAGGTTTCTATTTTTGCTGTGCTTTTCTTTTCTTGGTCATATCTTTAAAGAAAGTTTGAAACGAGTCTCTAAAGTATGCACAATCAAAATCAAGAATCAAATCTAAATATCACAGTAAGTGTTATGTTACTTAGTTACCTTCCTATCAATTGTTTTTCAATGATTTTGCAGGAGAGTGTGTTCACTAAACTGATAACGTAATGCCTCTAAAGGAATAGTTTTCAATACAGGTTTTAGCTGTAGTTACTTTTTCTTGTGTGAATCCTTCCAAACAAATCTAAGTTACTATATAAAAACATTTTTGGTGATACATTTTAAGCTACTAGAGACAGCAGTGTAGTGAGATCTAAGATTAAATTAATTCAATCAAATCAAGTCAAGACTATGAAGTGACATTACAAACTTCAAAACAATATCAAATGCAAATCCGGGGGGACAGCAGTTGGGCCAGCCAGTCCCCTATAAAATACTATTAGAACATAAATTACTTTGAAAAATTGGAAAAGCAATCAGAAATAAATTTGATGCTGCTCAATTTAGATAAATGTTGAGAGGGAGAAAAAAAATCACTATGCAAATCCTAAGGGTAAATAAGTAGAATGATATCTAGCTTATCACTAAAATGGTCTGAATTTAATTCAGGATTTTAAATCCTTTTCACTCACCTTGCTTTACTCTAGGTTATTATAAAATAAAAATATGGTATAAAAATGTATCTATTCTCATCAGATCTAACTCAGAGAGGCAAAATATATTGTCTAATAGAATGGTTTAAAAATATCTACTGAATATACATGACTTCATTAAATTTGCATATAAATCTTAAAAACATAAGAGTAAGTTCTATCATGGTATATATTTTAACGTTTTTTTTCAGGCTATAAAAGGCAGTCATCTATGTTCTGTAAATAAATCTGTGTTTTCAATGTTAAGAATGCCAATCTGGGGGTCATAAAATTGGCCACATTCTTAATCTGTAATAATTTTCTGACTCAGATTACTTGCTGTTAGGTTCAATCACAAGAAACCACCCAAATTAAAAAAATTTTGACATTTGATTCAATGTAATGTATTTGCTCTCTCAAATCTGAATAAGAATCTTCTCTATTGACCCAAGTTTAAAAATAAAAAAAAGCAAGCTTTCTTAAAGCTATGGTTTACCATCTATGATTTTTACCCCCCTTTCCCAAGAGTGTTTGCCATAGAAGACTCTACTGCCTTTTGAATAATAAGCAATCTCTTCAGCATTGTCCTTGTGGCATAAATTGGCTTCCAAAAAAATCATGTGTAAATGTCACAACCCCTATAGTTTTGAATTTGACCTTATTTGGAAATAGGGTCTTGCAGATGTAAGTTTAGTTCATACTGGATTAAACTGTCCCCTAATTTTATTTTATTACAAGAAGAGTAGAGACACAGAGGCATGCGTAGGAGAACAACGTATGAAAGCAAAGGCAGAAATTTATATTCTTTGTGTTCTTCATATATAAATTAAGGAACTGCAGAGAATTGCTTGCAAATATTAGCATCTGGGAGAGAAGCATAAATAAGATTCTCTCATATTCCTAAGAAGACATCAATCCTGATCAAAACTTAATTGTAGACTTATGTCCTTAAGAACTGGGAGAGAACAAATTTCTACTATTTTATACTAACAAGTTTGTAGTAATTTGCTATAACAGTCCAAAGAACTCATAATTGCCAAGGGCACCTCACCTGGGGTTCCCAAAGCTACCACAGTTGACTTCCTTGTAGACACTGCCCCTCTCGCACCTGAAGCTGCAAGAACAGCGTAGTATCTCCCTGCACTTGATAATTCTAAGTATATTCCTCATGCCCTCAACATATGGAAACCATGCCACCTTCTACTAGTTAAATTATGCTACTATAGTTTGAATATGTCTCCCCGAAACTCAGATGTTGAGCTATTTTCTCAGGACTAAGAAGGTGAGTTCTTCCCTTTCTCTCTCTCCCACTCTGGTCAAATTAAAAAATAATAATAACAAATGGAAATAAATGAGTAAATAAATCTTAAAAAAAAAAAGAGAGAAAAGAAGGTGAGTTCTTAACTTGACTATTATGTCAAAGTGTGTGGCTTCTGGGAAGCCGTTAGGGTTAAGACCAGTAGGGCGAGACCACCACAGCTGAGTTCTGGTGGTTTGTAAGCAGAGAAAATGAGCCAGACCAACACATGGAATGCAGACCACACTCTCCTGTGTCCCTGCATGCTGCGATGCAGCTTGAAGAATCCTATCATGGAGGGCCCTTGGACCACAGCTTTCTCAACTACGAGCTGAATAAACCTCTATCTTTATAAATCATCCAGTCCCAGGTATTTTCCTATTAGTGGAAACCATGCCACCTTCTACTAGTTAAATTATGCTACTATAGTTTGAATATGTCTCCCCGAAACTCAGATGTTGAGCTATTTTCTCAGGACTAAGAAGGTGAGTTCTTCCCTTTCTCTCTCTCCCACTCTGGTCAAATTAAAAAATAATAATAACAAATGGAAATAAATGAGTAAATAAATCTTAAAAAAAAAAAAAGAGAGAAAAGAAGGTGAGTTCTTAACTTGACTATTATGTCAAAGTATGTGGCTTCTGGGAAGCCGTTAGGGTTAAGACCAGTAGGGCGAGACCACCACAGCTGAGTTCTGGTGGTTTGTAAGCAGAGAAAATGAGCCAGACCAACACATGGAATGCAGACCACACTCTCCTGTGTCCCTGCATGCTGCGATGCAGCTTGAAGAATCCTATCATGGAGGGCCCTTGGACCACAGCTTTCTCAACTACGAGCTGAATAAACCTCTATCTTTATAAATCATCCAGTCCCAGGTATTTTCCTATTAGCAATGGAAGGAACTAGAAAAGATACTCTTTTCATTCACTCTATTGTAGGGACACCGATATTACATAAGTCTCTCAGTACATCAGTGAAATAATACACCCGTGTTTGTTCTGTTACATGCTCAAGTTCCCTCTTTCCCAAGAAATGGAATAAGCCCTTGGTGGTGGAGCTGAGTGACAACCACCATATCATCTGCAGACTTTGCACTTTCAGCCTACCTATGCCGCTGTTGCTCCCACGTGAGTGCTTATTTCACAACAAACTCATGAAAATAAGATTTCAAAGCTTGGATTAGGAACAGGGCATGGATGGAGATAAGAAATCTTCTTATCTTCTGACATATGACATACATATAAAGACATATAAAACATATCTATCTTTACCTGAGGAAAACTGACAAGATTCTCATAAAATCCAGAAAGCCAGGTGTACAGTAAAATATTGAGTTTCATAAAGAATAAACACAATCTTAAAAAGTACTTTTTATGAAATACTGAAAGAGTCTGTGAAATATAATCATATTAAAGAAAAAGCAAAAGCTTTACACTTATGTTTGCTTTTGTTTATCTGGTGGACAAATACTTATAAACAGGTACAAAAAATAAATCCACTTTTTCAACCCAGAAGTCATTGTTTGGTATGAGTTTTGACACATATAAGAAGGAACCTTATGAAAAAGCAAAAAAAAAATAGTAGTAAAATCTTTTGAAGTTTGTGAAAATAAAGTACGTTGAGGGCCCAAGAGAAACAACTCAGAGAATAAGTGGATATGTTTCGCTCTTCTTTTTTTTTTTTTTTTTTAATAGAAAGGAACACAAGTATGACTTTCACCATCAAGTGATTGTATATGAAATACTGGACATGAATGTGGACAGTGTTTATGAAGTTCTGAGACAAATGAAAAGGAGACATGGAAACACATCAGTAAGCCCAGATGAAGGGAAGGTGAAAATTCTGCAGAAATTAAAAGAAGCTTTGCAAATGACAACAGCTGCCAGTATCCAACTTGAACACGTGTTTGGGCTGCGCTAAGCTTAAGAAACAGAAATGTAATGCCTTTCAGGAGAGGCACTCCATACCTACTACACCTCTCTGTTGAAAGGCACAGCCCCCCTTGCTTGATGCATTGAAATATGCACTATCTCTCAGCATGGGTTTTGATCCCAAGCACAGGTGGAAGACACTGCAGATTTATTCATGAAAAATGACTTTTAGAGAAAAAATGGCTAAAGAGAAAAAGAATCATATAATGGGGCTTCAAGGAAGCTATGTGATTTTCTTTCTCTTTTTTAATTACCAGAGTGCATGTAAATTCACCAGAGACAGAGACACAGGGAAGGAGTGAGAGTCAGAAAGCACCCCACATTAGGAAATGGTCAAGACATAATCCCTTCTCCATTTTTCCATCCTGTCAAGACTTGGGGAATCCATGCACCCATGTCTATTATATTTCTCAAGCTACCAGGGCTGGAATTCGAACCATGGTCAGCCTTGTGGCATCCGGTTTTTTTACTTTTTCCCTCTGGGGCACTCACACTCACAGAAGAGAGACAGAGACAGAGACAGTGAGAGGGAAAGTGAGAAATCACTTCCCCAGGAGGTGGCCATGCCATAATCCCTTCTCCTTCATTCTCCTCCCAGGATCTCGGGCATGCACACATATGCACTTGGCATGATTTTCAAGCCACCAGGTCTGGTACTCAAACCACAGCCGGCTACATGGGAGTCCAGTGACATAACTGCTACAACATCTGCCCAGCATCCAGGTTTTTAATCACTAGGCTATAGGTCTGGCATTCGATTCATTTTTAAAAAGGTAGTAAGTACATACATTAATAGGATTTAATGGTTATAATTTATTTAAATATTTTGCATGTTGTCAAGTTCTCTGTCAATATCTTTTTAATAAATGTAATTGCCAAGGACAAGAGAGAGACTTGTTTCATCTTAAGTGAAAACAATTAAAGTAATAAAGAAGGAATAAGGCTCTATGGCCATGCTTCTGCCTAAGAAGTATATAGAATAAATGACATTGATATAATGCCATTAGGTTAATTAAATATGAGCATAAGATAAAAATTTGTACTCTTTATCATAAATATGCACTTATTCAACACAAATTAGGTTTGAATAGCAGTTTAAAAGCTAATGAGTCTTAGCTCCTTCTTTGGTGAGGTTTATCCTCTCTAAAACAATCCTGCTTATAGGACCAGCACTACTAGGAGTTAATGAAGCCTTCTGGCCATCATAACATTGAGCAAGAAGAGGCAACAATTTATTGCATTTTCTAATGAACACTTCATTTCATAATTTTAATACATTCTTAATACTTTTGACATGACTATATTTAAATAACAAATACTTTAGTCTTTATTTCAGAATAGTATGAAAATTATCTCATTTTTGTCTCTTCTATTTCACATTCATCTAACTCTGAATAATATTATTCAGAGATTTTAAAAGAGAGTTTGATCATTGAGAGTTTCTTGGGCCAGAATATCATGACACTGGGAAGAACTGTTCATTTATACAATTAGATGTGAAAACAATTCCATGTTCCCCAAAACAGAGGAGCAAGAACAGTACTTAGTTTCTTTTCATTAAGTTGCAAAACCTGTTTCACAGTTTTTCAAATGCAGAAGACATGCATAAAACATGTCCTGTGACTACAGACCATAATTAGCTTGGTATCAAGGCTGTCAGTCTTAATAAGTGCATAAATAAGTAACATTTATATTAGTATTTTATGGCTACTTACAAAAAGGGAATTAAGAGGAACTTCTTTATATGTATTTTCCATGTTCATTTATCGATGTTATATGGATGCCTAGAATACAGTCCTGTTAGTATTTTAAAGTGTACTTAATAACAGGTGAAAGTAACTTGTTGAAGTGCACTATATTCTTGTAATGTGTATTATGTTTCAAAAGACCTTAAGAAGTAGTTTCCTTATTGTCAGCCTTACAAAACATATTTAAAAGAAAATAATAGATGCTGTATTTGTGTGTGTGAAGAAATCCCTTTTTTAACCCGTTTCAGTCCTAAAGAGAATAAATGCACATAACATAGTCCAAAATTTAAATGTTCATGATCAAAGTATTGTTGACAATATTGAAAACAACAGAAAAGTGGTTGTAAAAAGTTATGCTACATTCATATTGCAAGGAAAAATTATATAGCCATTAAAACGTATAGCTATAGTGTAAACAGAAATAGAAGGTGAAAGACTAACTATACAGAATAATGCAGGAACAACTGCCAAAAGAAGCCAAAAAGAATATTTATTTATACAAAAAGAAAACACTGTAACTACATTCATCAAAATGTAAACAGTTGTTAGTCCTTGGTATTGGTGCAGTGTACCAACTGCTTTTAACTTTTTTCTTCCCCCTTTAAGCTATGCTTTTCCCAAGTTCTAAAGTTAAAACCATAGTGCTCTGGAATAAAATAAAGTGTTTATTTCATTTTAACTTGGAAAGAACAACAAAGAGGAATCATACACATAATTCCTAATGCCTTCTTATCAATAATAAAAGATCACAGAAGATAATAAAAAATGGTTTTGAAAGTTTAATTCTCCTTGGTTCTCAGAACAATCAACTGATTTTATCATTAAACACAGAAAACTGTGACCTCATACATAGATGGATATAATCTATTAGATCTGACATAAGCAAAATATAACATAAAAAAAAAAAGAAAGCTAGTCCTACCTAGTTAAAGTAATGAAAACTAAACTACATCCAGTAAAATATATCTCCTAGCAGGAGAGTATAGAGCTATAAATTGAACATGAAAATAGCATCGATACAGTCCATAAGATGAGACAGTTAAAAATGGAAGTATTCCAGAGTGAAGGGTACAGAACATGAATACACTGCCTAACAAGAGATGCTTAACATCAAAATAGAAACAACTTTTAACCATTTCCCCTTACAAATAAAAAAAAAATACAAATATAGTCTACAATGTTTTAAAGAATAAAGTATACTATCGGTTGCCACATTTAGTTTTTATCTGGTGATTGAAAATGTCTTTATGTACTGTTTTCTAACAAAGATGTGTTGAAAATGTTCTGAAACATTTAGATAAATCTATACTTTTTTCCCTTTTATTTTAGCCATGGTTATAGCACTGAATTCAAACAGCCACAGCATGGATGGTTCAGGATTTTGTCTCTTTAATGATCAATTTAGGTTGTTCCATGCTCAATTTAACCATAATAAACCAATCCATCAAACCCTGCCTATCCCGTTGCTGTGCTCAGACAGGTGACTTAAGTAAAATCAAGTAGCATCTCAGCAACAGCTACCTTCCAGTATTTAAATAATACTGGAGTGGATTCAGTTCCTAGCCCACCCACCTACATGGTGAAATGTAACACATTAAAAACAAAATTCATTTTAACTTTTTTAGAGCAAATTCATGTTTTGTTTTTTTACCATGTTTCTCAAATATGTTCATTTGGACTCCTAAGACTGTTAGTGTTGCATTAATCAAACTGGAGTTCATTATTATTTTCATGTTATATTTTCTTCAATATTTTTTAAGCAAACATGCCCACAACCTTTATCATGAGTAAGAAATTGTGGAAGGCAGTCAGATATATATGGACATAAGATAGTGCTCATTCTGAGCAAACTCACAGACTGAAGGAAGAGACAGATTCTTAACCAGTTACCTGTAACCAGTGTTAGGGAGACAGGTTCTCACAGAAAGGTGTAACAAATGCTCCAATAAAAAAAAGGCATAATGGAGTATAAATTCATGGACCACGGTATTCGGGGAATCACAAGCAATGCACGCAGAGTGTAAGATTAAAAACTGTAGTGTTACTTTTAATGACCAATACAAGAATGTTATATAATATTTCTGGAAGAGCTGAAATTCCTGCTCTAGACCCTAAAGGACCAATTCAAAATGGAGTTACTCATGCTAAGGTTCCATTCACCAAACTGAACCCTAAACTCTTTACCAGATCTTACCGTAAGATCATCTACAAACGCAGAAGAGAGATGACAGCCAAATTCCCAAAAAAGGCCGGTTTTCCAAAAAAAAAAAAAAAAAAAAGAAGGAGATTCGCTGCAATCAATCGCCAGGGGCTCATTCACCTGTGCTAGCATGATAAGAAAGACCCTTCTTTAACCTTTACAAAGAAAGGAATGGGAAGTAACCTGCTGATAAGCAATATGGGATTTTTGCACTGCACTGTTTCTTTATTCCTGCAAAAGCTGCCTTATGAAAACCAACTTTTACACCCAGTGGAGCTCCTATCTGTTCTGTAGATTGGATGCTGCCCAGTTCATGAATCACAAATAAAAGTAAATTAGATTGACATTTTTGTTCTTTGACATGAGTAAGACCTGAGAGTAAAAGATAAGCAGGGACCAGACTGCAAGTCTCCTTGAGCATATTCATGAAAGGTTCCTAGTCCACAGGTGTTTATTTTCTTCTGTTAGCTTCCTATTTTCTTGTATTTTAGTTTACTGGATGGCTCATCATATATATTCTTAAGAAAAATAGGATGTAAAAAATGGCTGTCTAAAGGCTATCAAAAATACCTAACGGACTAGTATTGTGCATCAGCTTCTTTACAGTAAGAGTTGTAGGGTTTTTTTTTTTTTTTTTTTTTTTGAGAGGTTTTTGCTATAGGGCGCGTGCGCTCGCCAG